ATACTCAGCTCGCAGCGAACAAATGTTCAGGCGCAGCTCCTGCTTCGCCAGTAAGCTGCCGGAAGGGACGGAGGACACACGATGCCGCCAGCATCTGCCCCAGACCAGAGCCGGGATTCTCACGCCCTCTCAACGGGACGCTCTCAAGGTTCCTGCGCCGAGATCGCAAAGTCTGTAAGAGGGTTTCGCCCGCGAATAGCCCCGTTGCTCACAAAGGAGAAAGCATCCGCTCTTTTCGTGGAAGAGGATGGCAGTTAGGCCTGCCGCCGGGTCTCCCCCACCAGAACCTGGCAACCACTCCTCCCGTCCGGTTAAACCGATAGTCATAACCGATGGCCAGGATGGAACAGCAGCTGCCTGCTCCTCCGGTCTGCTAAATACACTGATGAAGGAATCTCAGAGTTGATGAAAATCAGTAAGGACGTAAGATAGGAGGAGTCGAGTCATGGTGGTGGAGAGTGCCGGGCAGGTGGGACCGACGCCTGAGACGCACACAGCACCCCCGGGGCGCAGTCTGCACCTCGGCCCTCTGGAAATGCCCGGCCATGGCCCGCCCGCCTCTTCCTGGAAGGCGCCGAGGGCAACAACGCCGGCCTCTGTCCTGCCTGGGCGTATATGTCCTGGGGAGAGGAGACTCCCCCACAGTGCGGGGCCAGCCCGGAATCTGGGATCAGGGGGACAGGGCTCTCACCTGGCTGTTGGCAGGCGGGAAGGAAGAGCTGCCCTCCACGCCCATCCACTTTCTCATAATAAGCGACGGACCGAGCTCCCGCCACAGGACAGCGGGTTGGTTCATATTCGCATGTCGACACACACCACACACACTGTACACACACACACACTGTACACACACACACTGTACACACACACACTGTACACACACACACTGTACACACACACTGTACACACACACTATACACACCACACACACTGTACACACACACTATACACACCACACACACTGTACACACACACACTGTACACACACACACTGTACACACACACTGTACACACACACACTGTACACACACACACTATACACACCACACACACTGCACACACCACACACACTGTACACACACACACACTGTACACACACACACACCACACACTGCACACACCACACACACTGTACACACCACACACACTGTACACACACACACACTGTACACACACACACTGTACACACCACACACACTATACACACACACACACACTGTACACACATACACACTGTACACACACACTGTACACACACACACCACACTGTACACACACATCTTTTCCTGCACCAGCTGAGTCACACACATCGTGGCCCTTTACCCCTGAACATTTCATTGCACATTCCCTAAGAGCCGGGTGTCCTCCCGTGTGGCCACAGCACAGCTCCCAGTGTCGTGGACTGACCGGGACATGGTACTTCTGTCTGATCTGCTGTTTGAGTTCAGGGCTTGCCAGGTGACCCCATAACATCCTTCGTAGCGTCTCCCCAGCCCCGGGTCTGGCCCGGGGTTGGGTGTTGCCTTCGGTGGTCCTGTCTCTTTAGCCTCCTCTGATCTGCAGCATCCACGGCCTTTCTCCGTGGATGTGTTTGATGACCGACCCCCTCGAGTGGGTGCGTCTTGCGTTTCCCCACCCGTAGACGCAGGTTGTGCCTCTTTGGCCGGGACCCTGCGAGAGGAGCTGGCCCCGCCAGGGCATCCCCTCTGGGCCCGAGAGGTCCTGCTGCCCATCTCGGGGGACAGCGCTGTCCTCCGCCGGTCAAGGGGCTGCAGAATCCCTGATTCTCTCCCCTGCAACTGAGAAGCGGGCTGGGACCCGCAGGCACCCCATCCTCAGCGACGTTTCCCGACACAGCTGTGGTCATTGTCGCCGGGACCGGCCTTGACGCTGTGCGCTGTGAACAGGGCCTGACGGTGCCCTCGCCCTGCGCCGTTGCCGGGAGAAGCGCGCCCCACCACTGCCCCTGGCGCTGTTGGGCAGGCCTGTGGGCTCCTGTTCTCCAGGGCTCTGAGGCTGTCCTTAGTGATGTTGGTGCCGAAACTGTCCCGTGTGTGGCCAGCGAGAGCCCTTCGACTGCTCCGTGTCCTGTGACATGCCCCCTCGCTGGGGTGCACGGACTTCCTCTCGGTGTCACGAGATGTTCTGGGGTCAGCTGCTTCTCTAGGGCCCCGGTTTCTTCCAGACAGCAAGGTCTGGGCACTGGGCGTGCTTGCCGCTCTTAGTGTCTTGGCTTCTCGGCCCTTTTAGGAGACAAGGCTGGGTAACGTGCACACACATGCATGTAAATATACATACACATATAGTGTGTGCAAGTACATGCACATACACAATACACACATGCACGTGCATGTGCACACACATGTATATAAATATATGCATGCATATAATGTGTGCAAGTACACACACACAGATACACGTCCATATGCACGTGCACACACACACATAAATATACATACACATATAGTGTGTGCAAGTACATGCACATACACAATACACATATGCACGTGCACACACATGTATATAAATATATGCATGCATATAATGTGTGCAAGTACACACAGATACACGTCCATATGCACGTGCACATACATGCATGTAAATATACATACACATATGGTATGTGCAAGTACATGCACATACACAGATACACATACGCATATGCACGTGCACACACATGTATATAAATTATGTACACGTAGAGTGTGTGCAAGTACACACACAGATACACATACTCATATGCACATACACACATGTACATAAATATACACACATACACATATAGTGTGTGCAAGTACATGCACACACAGACACACATAGTATATGCACGTGCACACACATATATAAATATCTATGTATGCATATAGTGTGTGCAAGTACACACACACACATACACATACGTGTGCATATTTTGGAAACCATAAGCCCACACCCTACCTGTAATTCCACACGGTCCCGTGGCTCTTTCTTACCTGCAGTGAGCTTCTTCCTGGCGGGACACCCCCTCCCAGCGTCATTGCACACTCGCTCGCCGGCTCAACCCTGCAGTTCGACTAAAATAGCTTCGAATCGCGTTGCCTGCACCGTGCAGGGAATGAGCCCACAGGTACACATGTGGGGTTGTGAGCCACCTCCCTCCGCCACCCAGTGCGTGGCGAGCACTGTGTCCGTGAGCTACCGCGGCCCCGCCTCTCTCCCTCTCTCTCCCCCACGTCTGCACGGAGGTCTTTGAACTTGTTTGAGACATAATCAGGCTCGTTTGTGTCCGTTCACTTTCAGTCTCAGGCTTCCCCCTCTCTTCCAGTTCTTGACCATTTAATCTTCTTTTCGGACATGCAGAATATGACACACCCAACCCAGCTGGCCTGTGGCGGGAGCTCGGTCCTCGCTTACTGAGAAAGTGCTCGCTGGGCATGGGAGGGCAGCCTCTTCCTTCCCTGCCCGCCCACAGCCAGGGGTGAACGCCATGGTCCCCCTGACGCCCAGACTTCCCGGGCTGGCCTGTGGGGGACGTCTCCTCTCCCCAGGGCCACCACGCCCCGGCAGGAGAGGCCGGGCCGTTGTTGCCCTCGGGCGCCTTCCAGAGGAAGGAGGCCGGCAGGACCTGGCCGGGCAGTTTCCAGAGGGCCAGGGCCGCAGACTGCGCCCCCGGGGTGGGTGCTGTGTGCCGTCTCAGCGTCCGGGTCCCACCTGCCCAGGCATCTCCACCCTCCCACCTGACTCGACTTCCCTCCTTCTTACGTCTTACTGATTTTCATCAACCTGAATTCCCTTTATCAGATGTATTTAGCAGAACACGGAGGAGCAGAGCAGCTGGCTGTTCCTCCCTGGCCATGGTTATGACTATCGGTTTAACCGGAGCGGGAGGAGCTGGTTGCCAGGTTCTGGCGGGGGAGACCCCGGCCGGGCAGCCTAACTGCCATCCTCTTCCAGAAAAGAGCAGAATGCTTTTCTCCTCTTGTGAGCAACCGGGGCTATTCGCCAGGCGAAACCCTCTAACAGACTTTGCAATCTCGGGGCAGGAAACCCTTTGAGAGCGTCACGGCTGAGAGGCAGGTTGAGAAATCCACCGGCTCCTGGTCTGGGGCAGACGCTGGTGGCATCGTGTGTCCTCCCGTCCCCTCTCCCCGGCAGCTGTACCTGGCGAAGCAGGAGCTGCAGCGCGTGAACATGGTCTCGTCCTGCGAGCTGGAGTTCCAAGAGCGGACCCTGAAGATGGCCAGTGACCTGGCGCCTGGGGACGAGGAGCTGACCCGCCTGAAGGAGGAGAACGAGAAGCTGCGCTCACTCACCTTCAGCCTGGTGGGTTCCCGCCCCGGCGCGCTCGGCGGGCCTGTCCCCAGCACCACCCGCTGGCCCCGGGCTGGGGGGTTTGGGACAGGAGGTCTCCTGGAGGCTAAGCACGGGGGGAGGCGATGTAGTGACCCACGTCTGCCACGTTCTCGCTACCTCCTCCCCCGTCCCCAGCCCCCGGACCTCGGCAGAACGAGCAGCTGCTGCTGGGTGTGCCCTGGAGTGTCCCGCTGCGCTGGCTTCCTGCTGGCGTCTCGTTTGGGGTGGCCTGGGCTAGTCACTAAGGGCTAAGTCATGTGGGCTTTGCTTTAAGGATTGGGGAAAAGAAACCTCTCTGCCTGTGAAACTCCTGCCCTTCTGCCCACTGACTGAGACGTTCCACAGGCAGACACTCAGGGCGCCGGGCGCCGCCCGGCCTGCAGCCTGGCTGGCTTCCGGGGAAGTGGGCGTGGGCGGGGTGACTGGCGGCTTCTCCCTCTCTCGGGGACGCTGCCCGTGAGTCTCCCGGAGGAGAAGGCGGAAATAAATGGCCGGGAGGAGGAACCGTCGTCCTATCAGGTTTTCAGCCTTTCTGACTCTCCGTCTCCTTGCCCACGTGCTGGTATCGCGAGAACCGAGTGCCTCTTTTCCCACTGACGACCGCGGCTTTTCCCTGCTGCTTTCCCGCCCCGTGAGCAGGGGTGAGGACTCTGCTCCCCCGGGGGGGCTCTGGGCAGGCCAGCACCCCGAGCGGGCCTCTCTTGGCTGCAGGCGGAGAAGGACATCCTGGAGCAGCACCTGGACGAGGCGCTGGAGAGCCGGCAGGAGCTGGTGGACCGCATCCACTCGCTGCGTGAGCGCGCCGTGGCCGCCGAGAGGCAGCGCAAGCAGGTGGCCCGGCCGCCCCGCCTTCCCCGAGACCCTCAGGGCTGTCCCAGGGGCGGGGGCTGCGTGCCTGGGGAAGGCAGACCCTGTGATCCACAGGGAGCCTGAACGATTCTGCTCGGGGGCCCGGCGCGGGGCTCGCGCCTGTAACGCTAGCACTCTGGGAGGCCGAGGCGGGAGGATCGCTGGAGCTCAGGAGTTTGAGGCCAGCCTGAGCAAGAGCGAGACCCCGTCTCTACTATAAATAGAAAGGAATTAATTGACCAACTAATATATATAGAAAAAAATTAGCCGGGCATGGTGGCGCATGCCTGTAGTCCCAGCTACTCGGGAGGCTGAGGCAGGAGGATCGCTTGAGCCCAGGAGTCTGAGGTTGCTGTGAGCTAGGCTGACGCCACGGCACTCTAGACCTGGCAAAACACTGAGACTCTGTCTCAAAAAAAAAAATTCTGCTTGACTAATCTGTTGATCCTCGAGGCTGTCCCTTGGTCAGAGCTGCCCTGAGCACGGTGCAGATGGGAGACCGTGGTTGGGTGACAGGTGACCGGGGTGAGAGCCAGGGATTCAGTCCGGGAGAGAACAGGGGAAAGGAGATGGAGAGAACAGGGGAGGGATTTCTGTATTTGGGGATGTTGAATAAACCAAACACAACCATGCATGCAGTACTCTGCATGTTTAGATGACTAAATTCAAAAAGAATCAGCATAGCAGTTCTCTGGATGTACCCCAAAACCTCCCACTCAAGAGATGAGCCTGATTTCACCCTAGAACCGCCTCCCTCCGCCCCTCGCTCCCCGCACCCCGAAGCTCAGATCCTCCCAGCTGCCGCCCTCTCAGGCTGTGCCTTCCCTCCGTCCAGTACTGGGAGGAGAAGGAGCAGACCATGCTGCAGTTCCAGAAGACCCAGGTGGACTGCCAGCTCTACAAGGACAAGATGAACGCTCTGCGGGGCCAAGTGTCCGAGCTGCAGAAGGAGCGAGACCAGGTAGCCAGAGACGCAGGCCGAGGGGCTCAGGGGGAGGGGATGCCGGCCCCCGCCGAGTCACAGCTGGGAAGCCCCAGCCCCACTGCCCGGCCGCCCCACACTGGCCTGTCTGGGTGTGGCAGAGCGCGGGACTGGGTCAGGGGACTGTCTCACGGCCCGCCCCGGTCTCTGGTCTGGACTGTGAGCTGGATGACAGCTGGGCCCAGATCTCAGGGCCTCACTCCTGGGTCCGCACGAGGCTTCTTAGTTCCACTGCCATCCACTGACACATATGCTCTGTCATCCTCCCTGCTTTTATTCCTGGCACAAGACGCTGAGAAAGTCTGCGCCCCAAATACTGGGTTTTACTAAAACTGACTGCACGCACGGACATGAATGAAATGAGCCGTGAGATCGTGCAAGTCTGCTCAGCAGTGTCGGGTGAACTCAGAGAGGAAACAGGGCGCCCCCTTTCTCCAGCCGAGACCCCCCTGCCGCGTTGGCGGCGCCCTCAGCCCTGTCTCTCGGCCCACAGGCCTACGCTGCCAGGGACAGCGCCCAGCGGGAGATTTCCCAGAGCCTGGGCGAGAAGGACTCCCTCCGCAGGAAGGTGTTCGAGCTGACGGACCAGGTCTGCGAGCTTCGCACTCAGCTGTGCCGGCTGCAGGCGCAGCCTCCGGGTGGGGTGAGTGTCCCCCTGCTAGGCCGGAGGGGAGGCGGGGAGGCCGGGCGGCGGGGGTGAGCCCGTGTCCAGGCTGGGCCACAGGCTCCCTGCAGAGACAGCTGGACTTAACTGGGCCTGGCTGGGCGGCCGGCACACCGGCTCCCGTGAGCGGACCGTGCTGGGAAACCTCGAAGATGCACAGCTAGGCGAGTTGAGTCTGCTTCTGCGTTTGCAATGACAGTTTCACCCATGTCCTAGAAGAGGGAGCTTGGCTGGCAGAAGGTTCTGGAGCTGGTCAAGTGTGGCGATCAGTGTGGAACCGTCTCCATAGATGACGCGTTCCTGAAATGTTTGAAAGTCAGATGTCCCCGAGCTGAAGGAGGGAACAGAGGGAGCTGTGTTCCCAAAGCCAAAATCACCAGGAAGCCTCTAATTATGGACGGGCACAGCCCCAGCTGGGCGGGAGGCCCAGTCGGACCCTCCCCGCCCCACGCAGGGTCCACCCCGCCCTTCCTCCACGAGCCGCTGCCCCAGAGCAACCGTGTGAAAATACACGTGTGGACACGTAGAAAAAAACCCTGGCGGGGAGGGACAGGCCCCCAAATGCAAACCGTGCTCATTCTGAGTATGGGGTTGATGGTGAATTTTGTTTTCTTCTCTAATTGGTTCTGTTTTCCCCTGCGATTTTCTACGTGGAGTGTGTGTGTGCACGCGTGTATGTGCGTGTGTGTACATGTTCGTGCGTGCGTGTGCGTGTACTGTACGTGATTTTTGAGAACCAGTGAATAACAGGGCGTTCTCTGAAAGAGCGCCAGGCATCAAGCGGGGTTCTCCCGTCTGCTTGGCCGGCAGCTCCTGGAACGGGGTCCCAGGCCGGGGGACGCAGGGTCCGCGCTGTTTTGCTCGGAGGGTGGGGACGGGTGGCAGTGAGGTGGCAGAAAGCCTGCGGGCATCCGGGGGGAACCGTCCCTGCGCTAACTGCCTGTCTGGCCGGTCTGTCTTTGGCAGCCCGAGCAGGAAGCCGGGGCCCGGGAACCCGGGCCGCGGGGGAAGCAGCGGCTGGTGCGCATGCGTGCCATCTGCCCGCGGGAGGACGGCGGCGAGGGCAGCCTGCTCAGCTCCACCGAGGTAGGGCCGCTCCCCAGCCCCGGCCCCGCACGACATGCGGGTCAGACCTGGTGCCTCCCGTCCAGACCAAAGCCAGCCTCTTTCCACCCTATCCCCGTGGGCAAGCAAGAGGCTGATGCTGCTCTGAGAGTTTAAACGGCAGAAATGTCGCTGTCACGGTTCTGGAGCCCCGAAGTCCAAAATCAAGGCGCCGGCAGGCAGGGCCAGGCTCCTTCCGGAGGCTCTCAGAAGGGGACCCTTGCTTGCCTCTTCCCGCTCCGGTGGCTGCAGGGATGCAGGGATGCCGGGCGCTCCTGGGCTGGCGGCCGCACCCCTTCCGCGGTGGCCCCCGCCGTCACCTGAAGTTCTCCCCGGCGGGTGTCTCCGCCCAGTGTCCTCCTCTTAGAAGGACGCCAGGCCTACGGGATGTAGCGCCCACCTTGGTCCCATCCCACCTTGTCTCAGCTTCATGACGTCCGCAAAGACCCTATTTCCAAACAAGCCAGGTTCACAGGTTCCGGGCGGTTGTGAATTCTCGGGAGAATTCGCTGTTCAACCGGGCGTGGACGCTCCCAGGACGCCGGACCTGCTGTCTCAGGGCCGGCCTGGGCCTTCCCTTCCTGGGCTATCCCGCAGCGGCCGTCGCGGTCCTGCTTCCCTTGGGGCAGCGGGCTCCGCTCACCTGCTCCCGCCCGGCCTCCCAGGGAACCGGGCGTCTTCCCCAGAACACTGAGCACGCCCGAGCAAGGACCATGTCACATGCAGCACCAGCGCCAGGGCCCCGTGGGCCAGCGCCAGCCGCAGCCCAGACTGAACCGGGTCCCGCTTCTGCCCCGTTCGAAGCCCTTCAGTGCCCCGTGACCCCCCAGGACGAGTCCAGCCCAGCCTCCCCGCAGCAGTGTCGAGGGAGGGGCCCCGGGTGCTGGGGACCGGCCCCCGCGGCTCTCCTTACAGGGCACACGGCTCACCGTTAACGCGCCTCGTGGGCGCAGGGCTGGAACCTCCTTGCCCGCAGCCTGCTGTCCCCGCCGCACCCCTCCCCGGGGCCTTGTAGCCACTCCAGGGAACCCCGAGCCTGCTTCCCTGCTCTCTGCCTGCCTGATCCTCGCTCTGGCTCCCTCTGTCTGGGGCGTGGCCACCCCGCGCCCGCCTCCTCCAGGAAGCCCACTCTGGCCTCCCTGCCTGCCCGTGTCGCCCACACCCTGGCAGCCACCCCTGCAACCCAGAGATCCGGTTCCTGTTGGTACCCCGGCCCAAGCATGGCTCCTTGCTCGGGTGTGCGCCCCATCCTCAAAGGGCCTGGCACGTAGTAGGTGCTCAAGGAACACCTGCTAGGAGAAGGAAGGGGCCTCATCCGGGTCTGCACTGCACAGCTGGTGGCCCCGGCGCTGCGCTCCGCGTTCCGCACGTCGCGATGGTCAGAACCCTCGGAACGCAGCCTCCCCTCCCCCGGAGGACCGGAGTCCCGCTCCCGGCCGGTCACAGCCCCTCTGGGCCTCGGTCGCTTTCTGTGTGAAGTGGGCAGCCGCGCCCGCCTCGCAGGTTTGCTGTGAGAACCAGGCCACAGGGCACGTGGGGAGCACCTGGCAGCCCGGCCCGCGGCAGGTGCTCAGTGGACGTGGCCACACTGTGCGCCCTCCCTCCCACCCCGGCCGTGGCTCACTCTCTTGCACACTGGGACTGCAGGGAGGGCCGTCCCCGCCCGCGCCCCGCCGACCGCCACCCGCCCTCCTCCAGTCCCAGCTGAGGTCCGACCTGAGCGCCACATCCAGCCGCGAGCTGGGGGACAGCTTCCGCTCCAGCAGCCCGGTGCCCCCCAGCCAGCAGTCCCTGTACAAGCGGACGGCCGAGGACTTCCGGGAAGACTCCTGGTCTCTAAGGTAGGGCGGGCACAGCGTCAGGGGCCTTCCTGGCAGCTTGCTGGGGACGCCGGCCCAGACGTGGGGCCATCTGGGCACTGGACATGGCAGCTTGTCCCCCCAGACCCCCGAGCTGGACCGGTGCTGGGGGGCCGGGCCATGGACGGAGCAGGGATGCAGCTGAGCGGGCTGCTGCTTGTGCTCCACAGCACCTGCCTGGAGATCCTGGAGGTGGACCCAGGAACCCCCACGGGAGATAAGGGGGGCGACGCAGACCTGGACTATGAGATCCTGGACGGGGCAGGTGAGACCCACAGCCCAGCTCCACGGCAACCGCCTCACCTGGCGGCACAGCAGGAAGCACTGAGATGGCCCCGGCCTCTCTCCAGGGGACGGGTGGATAGTAGCAAACCAAGGGCCTTGACCTTGGCCTCTGGGGAAATCCAGGCAGCTCGAGCCAAAGCCCAGCTGCACTGTTTGCTGGTGTATTTTGTTTAGAGCCAAGAAAGAGGTGGTACCTGCATCCACGTCCAGCCCCGGCCGGGGTGCTCAGGCTTCCCGGTGGGATCAGGGCGGCAGGCTTAGGTGCTCAGCTGCGCCGACGCCGTGCAGGGTGACGTCCACCTGCCGAGCACCGCTCCTCCTGGGCGCTAGCCCTGAGGCCCCCTCTCCTGTGGCTTCCCCTCACTTTGTGGTTGCACGGGCCCTCACTGCCTCCATGTCCACGGGCTCCTCACCGTTCCCTGCACACCTGGCTCCCTGCCCAGGGCCTGCACACAGCAGGCGCTCAGCTCCCAGTGTGGAACGCACCCCGCCACCACCAGGGGCGCGAGTGCCCCGTGCCGTCCCCCACGGCGTTGCCTTTGTGCTTTCTGTGGGTCCCGGGACCCTTGCGGACACGTACGCGCTTTTACTTACAGCAGTGGTAAACTGAGAAGCCCGCCAAGGCACGTCCAAACTGGACGTGAGACCATCAACAGGAGGGCTTATTCCTCTGTTTCCCTTCTGCTAAGACTCTACAGAGTGCCCCAGCTTCGCACGCTTTTAATGGCTTTGAGCTCAAATACACCCGGAGTGCATGGTTCACTTCGTTTGGCTTTGAACGTAGCCGTGAACAGGATTCTGGCCCGTGAGCGGGCACGGGCCACCCGTAGCGGCGACTGTCAGGCCTGCTGGCGCAGGTGCCTGAGCGCAGCTCACAGGAAACGCAGCCGAGGGCCATGGGGAGCTGCTCTGAAAATGCGAGAGTCTGGGGAAGCCTCGGGAGCCTCTAGTCCTAGGACCGCCGGCTCGAGACCTGCCACCGCCTTCCGGGCAGCAGGAGGCAGCCACTGGCCGGTACCAGCACTGCTGCCACTTGGACACTCGAGCCCAGGCTCACACCGGATTCCATTTTCAAGTGAAGCTAGAAATGCAGATTATAGGCGAAATCCCCCTGTCTTTTATTTTTTATTTTTTTAATATATATTTTTTTGAGACAGAGTCTCTCTTTGTTGCCCAGGCTAGAGCAAGTGCTGTGGCCTCAGCCTAGCTCACAGCAACCTCAAACTCCTGGGCTCAAGCGATCCTCCTGCCTCAGCCTCCCGAGTGGCTGGAACTACAGGCATAGGCCACTACACCTGGCTAATTTTTTGTATATATTTTCAGTTGGCCAATTAATTTTTTTTCTATTTATAGTAGAGACGGGGTCTCGCTCTTGCTCAGGCTGGTTTCAAACTCCTGACCTCGAGCAATCCACCCGGAGTGCTAGGATTACAGGCGTGAGCCACCTTGCCTGGCCTTTTTGTCTTTTAAAATACAATGCAACTCATCAACTCTGGTGTTACTGCTGGGGGTGGTGGCTCACACCTGTAATCCTAGCACTCTGGGAGGCCGAGGCGGGCAGATCGCTCAAGGTCAGGAGTTCGAGACCAGCCTGGGCAAGAGCAAGACCCCCCCCCACACACACACACACATTAAAAATAGAAAGAAATGAGCTGGACAACTAAAAACATATAGAAAAAAATTAGCTACTCGGGAGGCTGAGGCAGGAGGATTGCTTGAGCCCAGGAGTTTGAGGTTGCTGTGAGCTAGGCTGACACCACGGCACTCTAGCCTGGGCAACAGAGTGAGACTCTGTCTCAAAATAATAATAATAATACTGGCAACTCATTCAAATACCACACGACGACAGGTAGAGGTCCGTCACTCTGATCCTAGGAAGATGACGTCAGGGTCCGAGGCATCAAGGGAGGGGAGGAGGAGGAGCAGCAAGTTCAGCCTCAGCAGAGGGGCAGAGCTGGCAGGAGCTGCCCGAGGCTGGGGGAAGTGGGGGCCGGGATTGCAGGGGCTGGCGGAAGCCGGGTCTGCACGGGGCCTGTAGCTCTCCGCTCCCTCCCAGACCTCTTCCCGTGGGGGAGCAGCCTGCAGCCGGTCTCCTGCGCAAGCCTCCAGGACTCGGAGAGGTGAGGGGCGACTGGGGAGCCGGGCCTGGAGGTGGCCGGGCAGAGTGTGACAGTGTTGGGAGGTGACAGCCTTTCCAAGCGGAGGGCAGCAGGGAGCGGGGAGGAGGATTCCGGAACGCGGGGGCCAGAGGGAGGCCACGGGGAGACGGCCCCGCCGCCGCCGTCCGGCTCTGGGCAGCGCGAGAGCCTGGCGTCTCCCGGCCTGCAGCAGCGTGCCCATGCGGCGGAGACCCGCGCGCAGGATCCCGAGCCAGGTCACCGTGCTGGCGTTCCAGGGCGACCGGCTGCTGGAGCAGATAAGCGTCATCGGCGGGAACCACACGGGCATCTTCATCCACCGGGTCGCCCCCGGCTCCGCGGCGGACGAGATGGCCCTGCGCCCCGGCACCCAGATCGTGATGGTGAGCGAGCTAGGCCCTCCCTGGGGGCCGGCAGAGGGCGGCAGGAGACTCTGGTGGCCTTCAGACCCCACAGAGCTGCTCTGGCCCGGCTCTTCCCGCTCATTTCTGGGAGGCAGCCACGTCCTGGGGGAGACCCGGCCACCCGCCCAGGCCTGGCCTTCTGCAGCCCGGGAGCTGGGAAGCTGGCAGGGCGTCGGGGCAGGGGACACACCCTCCGGAGGGTGGACCAGGCCCCCCGATGGGGCTGTCTCCTGTGCAGGGCTTTTTTTTTTCTTTATTTTTTTTACTTTTTTATTTCAGCATATTATAGGGGTACAAATGTTAAGGTTATATATATTGCCCATGTCCCCTCTCCGCCTGGGCTTTTTTTTTTTCTTTACCGTGATGATCTTATTGTCAATTTGGGGGGCTGTGCACTAAAATACACACATGATACAAAATTCACTATTCTAACCCTTGGGGGCATTCTCTGAAACTTTTTTTTGTTGTAAAACGTACGAAACTGCTGGGAAGACAAATGCACATAAGTGTACACCCTAACTAATTACTAAAAAGTGAATGTGTGGGCAGGAAGTGACTTTGATGTGGCCCACAAGCAGAATTGTTAATATTAAACTTCATGCTTTAGCCAGGGGTGGTGGCTCACGCCTGTAACCCTAGCACTCTGGGAGGCCGAGGCTGGAGGATGGTTTGAGCTCAGGAGTTCAAGACCAGCCTGAGCAAGAGTGAGTCCCCGTCTCTACTAAAAAAATAGGAAGAAATTAATTGGCCAACTAAATATATATAGAAAAAGGCCGGGCGCGGTTGCTCACGCCTGTAATCCTAGCACTCTGGGAGGCCAAGGCGGGTGGATTGCTCAAGATCAGGAGTTCGAGATCAGCCTGAGCAAGAGCAAGACCCCGTCTCTACCATAAATAGAAAGAAATTAATTGGCCAACTGATGTATATATAGAAAAAATTAGCAAGGCATGGTGGCGCATGCCTGTAGTCCCAGCTACTCGGGAGGCTGAGGCTGGAGGATCGCTTGAGCCCAGGAGTTTGAGGTTGCTGTGAGCTAGGCTGACGCCACGGCACTTACTCTAGCCTGGGCAACAAAGTGAGACTCTGTCTCAAAAAAAAAAAAAAAAATATATATATATATATATAAATTTAGCTGGGCACGGTGGCACATGCCTGTAGTCCCAGCTACTCTGGAGGCTGAGGCAGGAGGATCGCTTGAGCTCAGGGGTGCAGGTGACTGGGGAGGGCCCGTCGGTCCCGTAGGTGCCCTGCACCCTCCCTGAGCCCCCACAACACTCCTGTATCCAGAGCCCTGGCTGAAAGAGGCTGACCCTCGACCCGCCCTCAGGTTGACTACGAGGCCACGGAGCCCCTGTTCAAGGCCGTCCTGGAGGACACCACCCTGGAGCAGGCCGTCGGGATTCTCAGCAGGGTGGACGGCTTCTGCTGCCTGTCCGTGAAGGTCAACATGGAGGGTACAGACACAGCCCCATCTCCATCACCCTGGGTCCCCCCGCTGCACCTCAGCCAGGCTGCACCCCAAGTCCCCGGGGCCCCCCAAGGCAGCTGGAAACTTGCCACCCGCTGACCCCAGCTCCAGGGTGGCCTCTGAGATGGGGGAGAGTCCTCCTCCTTTCTCTCCCACATTCATGTTCTAGAACCTTCCTGTGTGTGCTCAGCCCTGCCTCATCTGGTGCTCTTTATCAGGTTACAAGAGGCTGGTCCAGGACCTGGAGGCCAAAGTGGCCACTTCAGGGGACTCGTTCTACATCCGGGTCAACCTGGCCATGGAGGGGAGGGCAGAGGGGGAGCTGCAGGTGCCTTGCAACGACATCCTGCACGTCACCGACACCATGTTCCAGGGCGGCGGCTGCTGGCATGCCCACCGAGTGAGCCCCTACACCATGAAGGACACCCCAGTGCACGGCACCATCCCCAACTACGCAAGGTGAGCATCGGTCCTGCCTTGGCATGTCCCCGACAGGCCCACGGGGTGGCACCGCCTGGCCTGGCTTGGCATGGAGGGACCCCTTGTGCCCAGGAGGAAGCAGTGGCCTTCCGGAAGATTCCCTTCACCGACAGCAGAGCCCACTGCCCAGGAATAGAGGGTGGGGTGATGAGACGCCCCAGAAGGGTTCCCCAAGGTCACTGAGGAGGACAGTTTTGCTGTGTCTCTGGAACTTGGGTGGACCTCAGGCCATGGCGGCACACGATAGACCAGGGTTTCTCGGTCCCTGTGCTACTGACACCCGGGGCCAAATCCCCCCGCTGTCCTGGGCGCCATGCAACCCCTGCTCCCCACCCACGGGTGCCAGGAGCACTCCCAGCCCCCAGCTGTGACAACCAAAACCGTCTCCGCCCATCACCAAGGGTCCCTTGGGGTTGGGGCCGATTGTGCCTGTTTGCCCAGGACTCTTGGTTTTGGCACTGAAAGCCCCTATCCTGGGAAACCCCGCAGTCCTGGGCAAACTGGGACAGTTGGCCACCCTCCCTGGGGAGCGGCAGTGCCCCTCCCCGCTGAAAACCAACCTTCAGGGTTCTAGACCAACCTATGGGGACCTCTAAGGTTCATGTGCACGGACCCATGGTGCACGGAAGGTTCTAGCGCAGCATAGGAGCAGCCTCCACCCAAGCTGCTCGTTAGTGTCCCCCCCACCATCCGGACGCAGCATCTCAGGGGTGGGCTGAGGCTCTGGAGTCTTTTTAGAGCCCTTGGGGTGCCTGCGGCCCTGGGGGTGCCTGCGGCCCTGGGCAGGACGCTGCTCCAGCTGGGTCGGCCCCTCCCGTCTGTGCAGGGCTCAGCAGCGGGGTCAGTCCCTCCGTCTGTGCAGGGCTCAGCAGCTGGGTCGGTCCCTCCGTCTGTGCAGGGCTCAGCAGCTGGGTCGGTCCCTCCGTCTGTGCAGGGCTCAGCAGCGGGGTGGGTCCCTCCGTCTGTGCAGGGCTCAGCAGTGGGGTTGGGTCCCTCCGTCTGTGCAGGGCTCAGCAGCTGGGTCAGCCCCTCCCGTCTGTGCAGGGCTCAGCAGCGGGGTCGGTCCCTCCGTCTGTGCAGGGCTCAGCAGCTGGGTCGGTCCCTCCGTCTGTGCAGGGCTCAGCAGTGGGGTTGGGTCCCTCCGTCTGTGCAGGGCTCAGCAGCCACCCCGCTGCTGAGCCCCTGGCCACAGACGGAGTACCCCAACCCCGCTTGCTGAGCCCTTGCATCAGAGGAGGGACCCAACCGCTGCTTACCCTGCACAGAACGGGAGGGACCCAATCCGCCCTGCTGAGCCCTGCACAAGACGGAGGACCCCAACCTCCGCCTTGAACCATGCACAGAACGGAGGGACCCGACCCCGCTGCTGAAGCCCTGCAGACGGAGGGTATTCCCGCTGCAAGCCGCACAGACGAGGACCCATCCCGTCGCGACCCTGCCACTAGAAACAGGGACCACGCCCGCTGCTTGATCCTGCACCGATAGACCACCCGCGCTGGAGCCCTGCACAGAACGGAGGGAACCTACCTCAGCTTGCTGAGTCCCTTGCACAAGATCTGAGGACCCAACCCTGATGCTCGAAGCCCCTGCTCCAAGACGAGGGACCCGACCCCCGCCTGAGCCCCTGCACAGACGAGGACCCAGCCGCCGCAAGAAGCCTGCAACAGACGAGGGACCCACCCCGCCCTGCCTGGAACCTGCAACAGAACGAGGGAAACTCACCCCGCTGGCTGAGTCCCTGCACAGAAATTGGAAAAGGGACCAGAAACCGGCATGCTCGAGCCCTGCAATTACACAGACGAGGGAACCTAACCCGCTTCTTTGAGCCCGCACAGTAAAGGAGAACCCAACCCGCTGCCAGCCCTTGCAACAGACGGAGGACCCGACCCTCAGCTGCTGAGCCCCGCAACGACGGAAGGCGACTTGACTCCGCTTGCCTGCAACCCTTCACTACGGAGGACCGAAACCGGCTGAAACGCCCCTGCACAGAACGAAGGGACGACCCCGCTGCTTGACCTGCCACAGAACGAGGGCTGGACCCCGTGCTGAGCGCTCTGCAGCAACAGACGAAGGGCGAAAACCCAGCTGAGCAGCGTCTCCACCAGGCCGCGGCAACCCCCAGGGTCCGCTAAGGACCCCCAGGCTCTAAAAGGACTCCAGAGTCCTCAGCCCCACCCCAGAGCATGGCCGCATCCGAGTGGGGGGACACTAACAACCTGGGTGAGCTGCTCCTTATGCTCCTGCCTAGAACCTCCGTGACCAATGGGTCCGGCCAAACCTAAAAAGAAGGTCCCCCCATAGTTTTGTTCCTTAAGAACCCTGGAAGTTGGTCCAGCGCGGAAGGGCAACGCCTGTGCCCCAGGGAGGGTGGCACACTGTCCCCATTTTCGCCCAGAACTGAACGGGTTCTCCAGGAACGGCTTTTCCGTTTGCCAAAACAACGAGTCCCTGGCAAACAGGTCACAATCGCCCAAAACCCAAGGACCCTTGTGGACTGGCGGTAAGTTTTGGGTTGTTTTCAACCAGCGGGGCGATAAGTGTCTGCACCTGTGGTGGGAGCCAAAGGTTTGCAGGCGCCCAGGAAACGCCGGGGAAATTCCCCCGGATTTTGTCAGTAGCAACAGGGACCCGAGAACCCTGTTCCTAGCGTGTCTTGGCTTGCCATACCTGAGGTTTCCACCCAATTCCCAGAAAGAACAACGCAAACAATGTCCCTCTCAAGTGACCTGGAACCTTTCTGGGCCGTCTTCACCACTTCCAATCCCTCCTATCCCTGGCAGTGGGCTCTGCTTGTCGGTGGAAGGAACTTACGGAAGCCCCACCCCTCCTGGCCACAAGGTCCCCATGCCAAGCCAGGCCAGCGTGCCACCCGTGGCCTGTCGGACCGAGCGAGCAAGGACACCGCTCACCTGCTAAGTTTGGGACCGTGCCGGCTATCCTGGGTGTTCCTCATGTGTACGGGCTCACTTCGGTGCCACTGCCACCAGCCCCCGCCCTGGAAAACATTGGGGTCGTGACTGCAGGATGTTCTTTCTGCACACGCACCTGCAGTCTCCTTCCGCCTCCCCTCCATGCCAGGTTGACCCGATTGTAAAACGATTTCCCCTGAAGTCGGCCACTTTGGCCCCTCCAGTTCCCTTGCCCAGCCTCCTTTCTCTTGTTTAACCTTGATATTAAGCACCAGATGAAGCCAGAGGCTGGAAGCACACAACAGGAAAAGGTTTCCCTTAGAAACATGAAATGTTGGGGAGAGAAGAGTAGTCGACTCCCCCCATTCCAGAGGCCCCCTTGGAGCTGGGTTAGCGGGTTGGGCACAGTTCAGTTGCCTTGGGGCCCTGGGGATCTTGGGGCAGCTGCTGAGTGGCATGCGGGGGACCCATACTGTTAATGGAGAATGGGCGCGTTGTCCTGTTTTAAACCTCCAATGTGAAACACCTCACCGGGCAAGCAAGAGAAACCGTTCCACCCTGCTTGAAATCCCGACGCCTGCTTCCAGGGTGTTGGCTGTTCTCCCGGACTGCCTTGAACAGGGCTTCCTGGCCGCCCGAGTCAACCGAGCGGGGGTCGTAGGTCGGCCCTCTTTTCAGCAGGGCTCGGATATAGAGTGTTTTCGGAGCTCAGGATTGGGCAGGGCACCTACGGAACTGACGCATCCCAGTCCCTGCACCCCTGACTAAGCAATCCTCCCCTGCCCTCCAGCCTCTCCAGATAGCTGGGACTACAAGACCCATGCGCCACCATGTGCCCCAGCAAATAATATAAAGTTAATATACATATATAATATCAATATATTCTTGAAGACAAGCCAACTTTGGTTTTGCCCTCGGCAAGTACACGCGCCGCCGTGCCGTCAACCCTATCCTCCACACAACTCAACCCCTGCTCAAGCGAGCTCCAGCCCTCAGCCTCCGAGTTTAGCTGGGACTACACAGGCATAGCCTTGCTAATTTTTTTTCTATTATTTATACTTCAGTTTGTGGCCAATTAATTTTCTTTCTATTTAGGTGACAGGTTTTGCTCTGCTCAGGCCTGATCCTCACTCCTGATTCTGAACATCACCCCCTTGGTCCCCCAGGTGCTAGGATTCAAGCGCGTGAAGCCCAGCTCGCCCGGACCAAAGCCATCGAGTTTTTTAAAATACAATTTCTTGCTTGTGGCCACATCAAGTCCACTTTTCCTGCCCACACAATTCACCTTTTTTTAGAATAGTTAAAGGGTTCGTTAAAACATGTATGTTGCATTGTTGCTCCAGCATAGTTTTCGTATTGTACACAAAAAAAAGTCTCCCGAGAACCCAAGGTTTAGAAAAGAATTTTAATCATTGTGTTTTTTTTAGCTGCACCCCAACATGACAATAAGAACATCACGTAAAGATATTAAAAAGCCAGCGAGGGGAGAAAACATGGCAACTCAAGAAATTCAACTATGTATACCCATAAATAAAAATGCTCCGAAAAAAAGTAACAGAATATAAAGAAAATAAAAAAACCCAACAGAAACAGCCCCACGGGTGGTCCCTGGCCACCCCCGGAGTGTGTCCGCGCCGCCGTGCCTGACCGAGCCTTTCCCAGTCCCGGGCTTGCAGAAGGCCAGGCCTGGGCGTGCAGGTTCCTTCCCCAAGAATGTGGCTGCCCTCCAAGTAATCGAACGGGAAAGCCGGCCAGGAGCAGCTCTTGTTCGGGTTCCGAAGGCCGCCAGAAAGTCTTTCGCCCCGCCCTCTGTTGCCGGGCCCGGGAAGCTTGGCTCGCTACACATCAGATCGGGTTGGCCTGGGGCGCAGGGCCACTTCTCCCGCCTGCGAGCCGGCCCGGGCAAAAACCCGTGATGCGAAGAATTCCTCCGTGGTTTTCCGCCGCGACCCCTTAATCGCTCCAGCATCCGTCGCCCTGGAAATACAAGCCACGGGGAACCTGGCTCGGGATCCCCTGCGCTTGGTGTCTACCGCCGCCATGGGCAACTTACCCGCTTGCAGTCCGGGA